CAATCTGAAATGGAGGCCCAAATACATCAACTTGAACAAGAAGCTTACTGTGCTGTCCTGCGTGCCTTTAGAGCCCAGTTTGATGCCATTACATGGGTATTTACTCTGCTCCATTGACATGTATTCTTATACTGTTCTCTTAGTATTTTTTGCTGCAATCATCTGGTTCTAATGATCTCTATTTTCCTAATTCAGGAGAAGGAAGGTTTAATAACAGAGCTTAGGAAAGAGCTACGGGTGTCAGATGATGAACACAGAGAACTTTTGAGCAAGGTTAATGCTGTAAACTTACAATCTTATGTGGCATTGTAACTATATCGGCTTTTGTTATGGATGTTTGCTTTGGACAAGCCATCATGAAAGCTGTCTGCTGATTGCATAAGAAGAAATGAAGATTTTAAAGGGAATATCACCAACATCCTTCTGATTGCAGATCCCACCAGAGGACATACGATGGGATGGTGAGGTTCCAAGCATATCTTATTGAGGCCATGGAGTTAAGAAGCAATCCAGTCATGATGCTCCTGTTCCCAGTGCTGGAAGAGGGCAAGGATCTACAAAGGGTCTATTCAGAAAAGAATATATGCCATCACAGAATAGTGTTCCTAAAAGGGCTTCTGAGGATATTGAATTACTTGACACACAGACACTAGTGAAGGAGGTATTTATTGGAGGGCTTGAACTGATTTGTAACATTTCACTCTAGCTAGTTCATAATTCCAAGATCAGTTATCTATATCTTTTTTTAATAGGTGGAGAAGGTTTTTGATGCTAGTCATCTGGATCCTCTTGAGCTTGAGAAGGCAAAGAAGAAACTGAAAGCAAGACAATTCATTCACGCTGCCTAAATTTCTCTCTTCCCATTACTCAGTGCACACTTAACCATCATGTCTTATGCAGGAGCATGAGCTGGCACTCATTGATACACTTGCAAGGCTTGCCGATGCATCTGATGGTGAAAGTGGTAGTAAGTACATGTGTATATGGCAATACTTTCGCATTTATATTGTTTAAGGCATCTTTGGCAAGCCTAACATTGTAAATGACTAATTGAACTTATTTATTTATTTATTTAGTTTCTGTGGCTTGGGAAAGGACATAATGCATAAAATTTTCTTCCAATAGATTGTCCCTTTGCTGTGCCATTAATTGTTTGGAGCCTTGTTGTAAGGGTTGAGATGGGCAATCCAATAGGCTGTCCAAACATGAGCACTTTTTGCAATGTACATGTGAAGAAAAGCCATGTTGGAAAAATAAATTTACTGCTAAAAATATTTGTGAAGTATGAACGGTAGACAGCAGCAGTTAGTACTCAGTTGTAAAAGACTATCTGGACTTGTAGAAGAAACTTAAGGTTGTGTGTTAAGTATCATATTTGGGTCACCATCCCTAGTCTCATTATTTCTGCAGAGAATTGACCTTTTGCTGATTTATGTAAACTTTGGAAGATTGGAAGCTAATCTTGTTTCTTCATTAGATGGAGAACAGCCATCCTTGCATGCACAAGAAAATGACTGACGATGAGGATGGAGACAAGTCATGGAATGGAGCCATCAGAGACAGAGTACCAACTCTAAACCTTAGTGATGAGGTGTAATGATTTTAGAGTTCATTGTCCTACAGAGCCAAGCGTAAGAGACTAGATCACCAGCAAGTTATGTTGCTTTAACTGTACTTTAAATTTGTCATTTTTTTTTTATTTTAATTTTTTGCCTCATATGATCATACTGGACACAAAAAACGCCAAATGCATACACAGAAGAAATTCTGTTTCTGATGGTCTTTTGAGGCAATGTAAAATTTGTAGTTAGTTAATGTAAAGATTTTGATTTTTGCATAGAGATGTCTCGAGCTGGAGGCAGGAGCTTGAGGCTGTAACTTTTGGTCAAGAAATCCCTTGTATTTGTGTTGAATCAAGCTTTCTTTATTTTCCTTCTACCTGTAGGGTTATAGATGCCAGAATCCTGCAAGCTAATAGCAGAGTTTAATCAACGTTTGCTAAAGGAATAGTAAGATGAGAATGAACTCAATTGCATGAAGGTTTTGCATTTGCAGCAAATTCACAAGTTTGATAATCAAGAAAAACCAAATTGAATTCAAATGTTATGATTGTTAGCTGGACTGCCAGTTCCTAACTGATGGTTTAATGTGGGGACCATGCAGGAAAACATAGCAGGTAGAGCAAGCTAAATTCTGATAAATTCAAGCCAATATAAGAACTCTTGCCTCAAAGTTTCCATTTTTCACAAGAACAAAAAGCCTAATACCACAATAAGACGCCCCAGAAACTACAATGCACATTTGATGCCACCAAAAACAATCCCAAACCCAAATCCAAAGACAATCAGTGTTTCAATTATCATTTCCAGAAGAAAGAATCAAATAAACTCTCTTCCAGTCATATGAACACTTGGAACTTCTGTGTTCTGCTCATACGAGGACATAACAGCAACTCTAACCACTAAAGAAAAACTATATCATTGCATAGATGTCATTCCTATTTCAGTGATATAAATTATAAGCACCAAAGAATCAAGCTCAACACCTTTTAGCAGACTGCACTCTGCGTGGAGCTTGTGAGGGATGGAAGGGTGAGACTCCTTTGGCTCCCGGTACAACATTTTTGGATATCTCCGGCATGGAATGTGTCATGTTAGCTGAAAACTAGATAACAGTGTTTGCCAATTGATTCTATCATCACCAAATTTCTCTTCATTTTCATGTAGGAGTAATAACCATGTAATAGCCATTCCACGAATTGAAACTTGACCAGATGGTTCATCAATAATTTAGCATGGAATGTCAAATCTGCTGCAATCAGCCTTGAATTAAAATATTACACATCTTCAAAAACAAAGTGATGACTTGCACCATAACCATTTTCTTCCAGTATTAGAAAAATGAGAAAAATCTACAAGATCAACCTTTCCTTTTGTGGTAGATTTCATAAATTGGTCCAGCTCCATAAAAATGACAAAGTAATCACAGATACAGATATTGGAATCTGAGAAGGTCTAAGGAACCCAGATGAAAAA